TGGGTTCAGGCAATTCTCCTGCCTCAGCCTCCTGAGTAGCTGGGATTACAGGCATGCGCCACCATGCCCAGCTAATTTTTTGTATTTTTAGTAGAGACGGGGTTTCACCGTGTTGACTAGGATGGTCTCGATCTCTTGACCTCGTGATCCACCCGCCTCGGCCTCCCAAAGTGCTGGGATTACAGGCGTGAGCCACCGCGCCCAGCCTGGCATTTTGGTGGTAAGAAGCATCATACCCATTGTCAGCTGTGTGCCTGCCTTCTGTGTCCTCCTATGGAGTCAGGGCCAAGGTGACCCTGGCCAAACAGGTGGTCTCATCTGCCAGCTCGTGACTGAGTGAGGGGGATAACACCACGCCTTCCCTGTCCACTCACCATGAAGAGACAGAGCACACCGGTGGGTCGAAGGAGCCCTCGGCCACAGCAGGCCTGTGTTCTGGCGTCGTTTCAGATGGTGGAGAGCATGAAGTACCCCTTTAGGCAGGGCATGCGGCTGGAGGTGGTGGACAAGTCCCAGGTGTCACGAACTCGCATGGCTGTGGTGGACACGGTCATCGGCGGTCGCCTACGGCTCCTCTACGAGGATGGCGACAGTGACGACGACTTCTGGTGCCACATGTGGAGCCCCCTGATCCACCCAGTGGGTTGGTCACGACGTGTGGGCCATGGCATCAAGATGTCAGGTTAGCAGAGACCCTGTTTGGAGGGACTGCAGGCTATGCTTCCCCGGGGATGGGGTTGGGGAGCACCTTCCTAGTCCTCACAGGAGGTGAAGGCTAACGTGGCCACCCTGCGGTGATGATACTGAGCTCCAGAGAGCTTGAGCGACTTGATAGAAGTCACTCAGCTCAACTTGTGAGCGGTAAAATCAAGATTTGAACCCAGATGCCCCCAGCCCCGATCCTCTCCCATGTCATGTGGAAGCAGTGTGGGTTTCAAGGGCTGAAGAGTCCCTACAGAGAGCTCTTGATGTTTTCTGGACTCAGCCTTTGTGTCTGCTGCTCTGGGGTGGGGGGTCCTGAGATACAGAGATACAGCTAAGAGCATGCGCAGAGCAGCTGGAGAGGTGTGGAGATGGCCCGGGAGCCACCTCCGACTCCCTTCTCTTCCTCATTCTCTTTTTCCATCTCCAAAGAGAGGCGAAGTGACATGGCCCATCATCCCACCTTTCGCAAAATCTACTGTGATGCTGTTCCTTACCTCTTCAAGAAGGTGAGGCTCAGCCCTTGGGTGCTTTTCCCCTGGGCCATGGGTGCATTCCAGGCCTGAAGGACCTGGCTTTTCCCCGGGACTCTCTTTTCTTCCTGAGGCCTGCTTCCCTCACCCTTCCTCCTGGCCTGCTCAGGGAGTCCCCAGCTGTCCCATTCCTTTAAGGTACGCGCTGTCTACACAGAAGGTGGTTGGTTTGAGGAAGGGATGAAGCTGGAGGCTATTGACCCCTTAAATCTGGGCAACATCTGCGTGGCAACTGTCTGTAAGGTGAGCCAGGGGCTGGCCTTTCAGCCTCCAGATTTCTTAGGGGACCCATGTGGCCCAGAGCTCTAACCCTGCTTACCACTGTCAGGAGCTTTCTGTCCCACCCTGTCTTCACTGGCTATGCCCAAAGTCCCTGACTTGTAGGTGGGGCCTTACCTACCCCTTGCTCAGAATCTGGTTTCATGTCAGGATCCAAGGCTCACTGGACAAGTGCTTACTGAACATCTGAGCCTGGTCCTGTGTCAGGGTAGGCCCTTCCCTGTCACCTCACTAGGGCCTTCTTGCTGTATGCCATCTCCTTTGAGCCACAGCTGGGGTCACCTTGCTCTAAACCTTGTCACCTCAGCCTGAGCAAGCCCTCCACACCCGCTTGGCCCTCCTGGAGGAGGCTGCTGACTCGTCCACGCTGGGGATCGGCTGTATGCCAGGCATGTGTGCTCACCCCTGAGAACACGGCCCAGCAGGACGGACATGGCCCCTGCTGGTGTGGTGTTTGCTGTCTAGTGGGAAAGAGAAAGAATCCCACAGGTATGCATCACAGAAATACTATGTGCTCCAGAGAGGCTCAGGCGTCCTCCAGGAGGGCTATACCCTAGATCTGTTTGGATCCATCTGCCTTGTGTCCCTGTTGGGGTGTGGTCCCAACCTAGGATGGGGTACAGTTCATGACATGATCTGTCTGCCTACTCCCCTGCCCCCCAGGTTCTTCTGGATGGATACCTGATGATCTGTGTGGACGGGGGGCCCTCCACAGATGGCTCAGACTGGTTCTGCTACCACGCCTCTTCCCACGCCATCTTCCCAGCCAACTTCTGTCAGAAGAATGACATTGAGCTCACACCCCCAAAAGGTGAGACTGGAGAGGCCACCCCCTGCTGACCTTGCCATCAGAACGGCAGGGGGTGGCCGAGCGCGATAGCTCACATCTGTAATCCCAGCACTTTGAGAGGCCGAGGCAGGCAGATGGCCTGAGGTCAGGAGTTCAAGACCAGCCTGGCCAACATAGCTAAACCCTGTCTCTGCTAAAAACACAAAAAATTAGCCAGGCGTGGTGGCCAGCACCTGTCATCGCAGCCAGTTAGGAGGCTGAGGCAGAATCGCTTGAACCCAGGAGGTGGAGGTTGTGGTGAGCCGAGATCATGCAACCCAGCTGAGATCACTGTAGCCTGGGCAGCAGAGCGAGACTCTGTCTCAAAAACAAAACAAAACAGAAGGGGCAGGGTGTGGCCACAGGCTCAGAGTTCTGGTCAAGTCAGGCCCCACAAGTGTAGCATTCAAGTGTAGCCCTTAACTGCTGGGCCGACCCTGCCCCATGGCCAGTGTCTGGTTGATGAACAGATCTCCCTCATCCCTTTGGGCAGTGAATAATCTATACAACAAGGACTGTGGTGCTAGAGCAGGTACCAGCCTTGAAGGGATGAGAAAGCGTCTGCTGGGGAGACTCCACGCTGGGTCCTGACCAAGCTGCAGAGCTCCTTCAGCCCTGTGACCTTTCCCTCAGCCCGCTTCCTGCTTCCCCCTCTCTCCCTCTGCATCTGAGCTTTCTGCTGCTCCAGGTTATGAGGCACAGACTTTCCACTGGGAGAACTACTTGGAGAAGACCAAGTCAAAAGCCGCTCCATCGAGACTCTTCAACATGGTGAGGAGACAAACGGAGCAAGGGGCCTGCGGACAGGCCCTGCCTGCTGCTGTCAGTGGTGGCAGTTCCTACCCTTCCTCTCGAGTCTCTACTGCTGACATCAGCCACTTTCAGGGGGAAGTCCCCGGCTATGGCCTAGGCACCCCCGTCCCTCTTCCATGCAGGGGTCATGTCAGGAAAGAGGAACCTGCCCCAGCAGGCATTCCAGTGCCAGGCCCCTCTCCACCAGTTCTGCAAGTGCCCCCGGGCCTGGGTGAACCTGCTGGGGCAGGGAGCTGACTGGCTTGGCCACTGCCTCCTCTTTCTGCCCCAGGATTGCCCAAACCATGGCTTCAAGGTGGGCATGAAGCTGGAGGCTGTGGACCTGATGGAGCCCCGGCTCATCTGTGTGGCGACGGTGAAACGGGTGGTGCATCGGCTCCTCAGTATCCACTTTGATGGCTGGGACAGCGAGTATGACCAGTGGGTGGACTGTGAGTCCCCGGACATCTACCCCGTCGGCTGGTGTGAGCTCACCGGCTACCAGCTCCAGCCTCCTGTGGCTGCAGGTCTGGGCTCTTGTGGCCCTAAGAGGCTCTGACTTTCTTTCCTCCTCTTTTTTCCTTCCTTCACCCGCCCCGTGCCCATCTCAGTTCTTTGGCATGAGATGAGATGTCTTCTGGACCACTCTGAGTAGAGTGAGCCCCTTCTCCCAGCCCCTGCTCCTGACATCTCTGTCTCCCTCTCCCTCTGGCCTGCAAAGCTCCTTCCTTCATCTTGCCCACTCTGTCATATGCTCGTGCCCTTGTGCATCCAGGTGAACTACCCAGGTCCCTCTGAGCAGCCCTGGTGACAAGGGTGGGAAGAAGGGACAGCTGTTCTCCAGCCCTTCCCCCAGCCCCGCCCTCTCCTCATTGCCCAGCTTTGGCTACCTGTCTTAGGGTGTCCCATGTGGGAGGGTGGATAGGGTCTCAGGATGCGCCTGCGCCCTGTGTCCTCCTAGGGACCCTCTTCTCATCTCTTTCACCCTTGTCTTTCAACAACAGAACCGGCCACACCTCTGAAGGCCAAAGAGGCCACAAAGAAGAAAAAGAAACAGTTTGGGAAGAAAAGTAAGTGATGCACCAGTGCAGCCAGGCCCGGGAGCAGTGGGCCTGTGGCCCTGGGAGCAGGCGGGGGTCAGTCTGCAGGCACTGGTCCCCAGGTGCTGTCCCATTGACATAGCTCTCTTCATGGTCCTGTCCCATCTCTTTTCCCTTGCTTTTTGGCCTATGGGCCTTTCACCCTGTCTCTGAGAACCCAGACCATAAATAGGGAGTGTTCAGTCTCTGGCCATGGTCAGGATGCTGAGGAAGAGAGATAAGAGATTGAGGTTGGGGGATCCCATCCCTGCTGCCCCAGGTTCAGAAAAAACAGCCTGCCCTGGGCAAGCCACAGCTGTTAGGTTCTAAAGCAAAAGCCACAGGAAGAAATAGAAGCTGTCTCTCCAAGGTTGTCATTCTTCCCTTGATACCTCTTTGAGGGTGGGAGAAAGGCAGGCATCTTAGTGGCAGGACTCTACCTGGCACTCGGGCTGTGGGTGTCATTTCCCTTGGTGGGGCCTCACTCCCTACAGATTCTGAGCCCAGCTTTGGTTCCACTTGAGCGGCAGAGTGGGAGTAGGCAAAGCCGTCCGTCAGAGCTGCAGGCGAGGTGGACTCCTTGGTACCATGCGGGGAAGAGGATGTTCTGAAACAGGAACGAGGTCACTGGGACAGGATTAAGATTGAGAGACGTGGCCGGGCGCGGTGGCTCATGCCTGTAATCCCAGCACTTTGGGAGGCGGAGGCGGAGGCGGGCGGATCACGAGGTCAAGAGATCGAGACCATGCTGGCCAACATGATGAAACCCCGTCTCTACTAAAAATACAAAAATTAGCTGGGCGTGGTGGTGTACGCCTGCAGTCCCAGCTACTTGGGAGGCTGAGGCAGGAGAATTGCTTGAACCTGGGAGACGGAGGTTGCAGTGAGCTGAAATTGTGCCACTGCACTCCAGCCTGGCACCTGGTAACAGAGTGAGACTCTGTCTCAAAAAAA